CTCTTGTTACCCAGGCTGGAGTGCAATGGCACGATCTCGGCTCACCGCAACCTCCGCCTCCTGGGTTCAGGCAATTCTCCTGCCTCAGCCTCCTGAGTAGCTGGGATTACAGGCACGTGCCACCATGCCCAGCTAATTTTTTGTAGTTTTAGTAGAGATGGGGTTTCACCATGTTGACCAGGATGGTCTCGATCTCTTGACCTCGTGATCCACCCGCCTTGGCCTCCCAAAGTGCTGGGATTACAGGCTTGAGCCACCGCGCCTGGCCCTAAAACTAATGTTGACAGAAATATTATTTGTATGTAACAAAGAAGATCAGGTTTTTTTGCAGTTATAATTACCTCCAAAGTATATTTTTTGAAAACTATTACAGATATTTTGAGAAGTGAATAATGATGTCATTCAACTCTGAAATTATTTTCTACTGTTTCTTCATTCCTATTGTATTCACATGTGAAAGCATAGGATCAATTGTTACTGCATCAAAGATATGAGAGATTCGTTTTGTTTTTTGAGTCAGAGTTTTGATCTTTCACCCAGGCTGGATAGAATCCAGTGGCATAATCTTGGCTGATTGCAACCTCTGTCTTTCAGTTTCAAGTGATTCTCCTGCTGCAGCCTCCCGAGTATCTGGGATTACAGGCGCCTGCCGCCAGACCCAGCTAATTTTTGTAGTTTTAGTAGAGACGCGGTTTCACCATGTTGGCCAGACTGGTCTTGAACTCCTGATCTCATTATCTGACCGCCTCGGTCTCCCAAAGTGTTGGGATTACAGGCGTGAGCCACTGCAACTGGCAAGAGATTCTTTATTAGGTGGGCATAATTTATAACACAGAAAAGTAAGGGCCTTGCTGGCACGGTGACTCACGCCTGTAATCACAGCACTTTGGGAGGCCGAAGCAGATGGATCATGAGGTCAGGAGTTTTAGACTAGCCTGGCCAATATGGTGAAACCCCATCTCTACTAAAACAAAACAAAACAAAAAAATTTAGCCGGGCATGGTTGCGCGTGCCTGTAATCCCAGCTATTTGGGAGGCTGAGGCAGAAGAATCACTGAACCTGGGAGGCGGAGGTTGCAGTGCACTCCAGGCTAGACAACAAAGCGAGACTGTCTCAAAAAAATAAATTAATTAATTAAAAAGACATTACAATGTAACATGCATAATGAAAATCTAAGTAGAGAGGCTCTTTGGGGTTAACATATAATATTGAATGAAATATCAGGTAGGTGTTTAGAGTAATATTCTCCATTACCATGAGAAAAAAAAATCTTTAAAATAAAGTATATTTTTGTACTAATTTTACTTTTATATAATAAAATGCATTACATTTTTAAATTTTATATTGTTTGAAGTTTAATTCAAGATTTGTAACATGTTAAATACTATTGTTCATTCAGTAAAGTGTTATTATGCCCCAAACTTTAACCTCTCCCACCCTACTCAAGAGTATAGGCAAAAGACGTTAACTGTATACTATTTAGTAACATGATGGATTAACATCTCTAGTGACTTTTTGTGCCGGTGGCTTTCAACTGCAAATAAGTTAAACAATATTGTTCCCGTAGATTGAAAATTTATTCTGTTTTTAATCACTTATTTTAATTTTTACATAGATTGTTTTTTCTTTTCCAGAGTCTTGCTCTATCACCAGGCTGCAGTGCAGTGGCACGATCTCAGCTCACTGCAACCTCTGCCTCCCAGTTTCAAGCAATTCTGCTTCCACCTCCTGAGTAGCTGGGATTACAGGCGTGAGTCACCATGCCCAGCTAATTTTCGTAGTTTTTTTTTAGTAGAGTCAGGGTTTCACCATATTGGCCAGGCTGGTCTTGAACTCTTGACCTTGTGATCCACGCACCTCAGCCTCCCAAAGTGCTGGGAATACAGCTGAGAGCCACCAAGCACAGCAAATTTTGACACAGTCTTAAAAAATTTCTCTGACGTCACTGGTAATGTGATAGAGGTTGCATTACATCTGTAAATCATTTTGTGTACTACAAATATTAACTATTAATAATGTCAGTTCATGAATAATATTTCATTTTGTATCACAGGCATTGATCGACTTATGACCTATGCAACGTACGACCTTTCGACTTTACGACCACAACCGCTAGCCACGACTGCTCCGCGTCTGGCAGCGCAAACGTTGCCCAGCTGGGCGTACGACAGTGCGGACCAGCTTCCGGCAGCACTACCATCTCCACGTGCATATAGCCTACTCAACTTACGACCAAATCGTGTTACGACCGGTCTGTTGGAACCAATCGTGGTCATAAGTCGAGCACTAGCTGTACTTAATTTCTACAATGTTCCTTAGAACAGACTGTATTGCTGTTATAACCAACATGAAATCTCACCAATATGATTTCTTTTATGGTTAGAAAAGTTTGAGGTGTTGTCCAAAGCACTGTCACATCTTTCTCCTTTGTAGAGTATCTCTCCAGGTCTTCTAAGAACTGAGGACTAGTTAAAAGCTTTACCATATTTTTCACACTCATAGGGTTTCTATCCAGTGTGAATTTTCTTTTTTTTTTTTTTTTTTTGAGACGGAGTTTCACTCATGTTACCCAGGCTGGAGTGCAATGGCGCAATCTCGGCTCACCGCAACCTCCGCCTCCTGGGTTCAGGCAATTCTCCTGCCTCAGCCTCCTGAGTAGCTGGGATTACAGGCACGCACCACCATGCCTAGCTAATTTTTTGTATTTTTAGTAGAGACGGGGTTTCACCATGTTGACCAGGATGGTCTCGATCTCTTGACCTCGTGATCCACCCGCCTCGGCCTCCCAAAGTGCTGGGATTACAGGCTTGAGCCACCGCGCCCGGCCCCAGTGTGAATTTTCTTACGTGTAGTAAGAATTGAGGACTGGTTAAAGGCTTTGTCACGTGCTTCACATTTGTAGTTTCTCTCCTGTATGAATCATTTTGTTCAATAAGGCTCAATAAGGTTTGAGGACTGGTTAAAAGCACCGCCACATTCTTTACAGTTGTAAGGTCTCTGTTCAGTATGAATTATGTTTTGTAGGAGTTGAGGACTGGATAAAGGCTTTACCAAATTCTTCACATTTCCAAGATTTTTCTCTAGCGTGAGTTACCCTATGTTTAGTAAGGTTTGAGGATTAGTAAAAAGCTTTGCCGAGTCGCTTTCTGAGCTGGCGGTTTTGTCGCCATAGCTCGAGCTCTCGTGCCGGGCAACTGGCGAACTGGCAGTTATTCTCATGACAGTTCAACCTCCCGCTGTGGCGGGTACTGCCTGGCACTATCCCTTGGCAGGGGCTGGAGTGTGCCTTTTCTGGATGGAACAGCGAATTATATGGACTCTCATTCTCTTCTTTTTGGATTGTATACTGAATTCTGCTGGATTCACTGACAAGAAGAGTTTGAATTAGCAGAACCCTGAGAATGGAGACACCTTTAGAAGAGACTGATGAAGAAAGTACAGGAGGAATTTCAACTTCAGAAGTAGAAATTGTCCTTGGCCATAGATCCCATCTAAGCTTTCCTTTCGGCATCTTCTTGTCAACTCTTTTCTACCGTGGTGAGGTGGCCTCCACTTTGTATACGTTTGTTATTTATCAGAAAGGTAATGACATATTCTGGATGTCATTTACCATCAGCTTTATTATTATGGGGGCAATTTTTGATCAAATTACCCTGATTTTTTTCAACAAAGACTTGAGAAATAAGGTTGTGTTACTTTTTAGGCACATTCTTCTTTTAGGACCTATAGCGAGGTGTCTGCAGACCACTATATGGTGAAATTATTGAAATATCTTACACTGAAGGCAGAAGAGAGTCGAGTTAGCAACCCAGAGAGAAACAAGATACTGGAAAGGAAGATTGTTTACTCACCGCAGTATATTTTAAGGCAGGACAATGCATTTAAATGCATGACAGTGGTTTAGGCTTTTGTTTCTTCTGTCCCACAATTAATTTTTCAGATATATGTCACTCTCACTATACAAGAATTGCCTTCGAGTAGAGCCTTGCTGATGACATGTTGCCTGTTATCAGCTGCTTATGGGGCAATTCTCTGCAGTATACTGGCCATCCAAATCAGCGACGATGATGCTACCATTAAGCTACGGCCAACAGAACTCTTCTATGTGATAATATGGCGTTTCTTAGAAATTATCTCACATGCAGTGACTCTGGCATTATTCGCTGAATCTCTAAAACTGAAGAGCCTACTCTTTCTATTGCTCATATATTTTTTTTTTGGGGGGGGATGGAGTTTCGCTCTTGTTACCCAGGCTGGAGTGCAATGGCGCGATCTCGGCTCACCGCAACCTCCACCTCCTGGATTCAGGCAATTCTCCTGCCTCAGCCTCCTGAGTAGCTGGGATTACAGGCACGCGCCACCATGCCCAGCTAATGTTTTGTATTTTTAGTAGAGACGGGGTTTCACCATGTTGACCAGGATGGTCTCGATCTCTTGACCTCGTGATCCACCCGCCTCGGCCTCCCAAAGTGCTGGGATTACAGGCTTGAGCCACCGCGCCTGGCCCTTGGTCATATATTTTGTATCAGTGTTGGCACCATGGCTGGAGTTTTGGAAAAATGGAGCTCATCTTCCTAGCAGCACAGAAAATAATTCCAATGTGGTGGGCACAGTACTGATGCTTATCGTCATCACACTAGTATATGCTGCCATTAACTTCTCCTGCTGGGCCGCAGTGAAACTGCAGTTGCCAAATGAGAAAATATTTGACAGGAGAGAGAGGTGGAGCCATACATAGAATTCTACACTACAGTTTTCAGTTTTTAGAAAATGTGATAATGATATTCGCATTTATATTCTATAGGGGGGAAACTTTACTGAATTGTTGTTACGCATTAGTCGCCATACACGTCATCATAATCTACTTCTTAGGCTTTTCCTTTATATGTCTCTTCTATCACTATTTGTACCCAAGGAAGTCAGACAAAATACTGTAAAGACATACTAAAAATTAGCCAGGGTCACTGTGATATTATGTAAACATCTAAAGAAAGCTCAATTAAAAGAATAAAAATAAGCAGCTAAGGAAATATTATCATTCTTGGAATAAACGGGTAATTTTGATTCAACAAAGTATGAAATATTCACAAAATATACATACGTACTTTCACAGAACAATGAGGAAAGATGCTGAATGTGACTTTTTAAAGATACTCTTCCATTAAAAAAATTATAAACAGCAAGATCTTGGGAGTAGTTTTCAATAACATTGATTTTTCTCCTGGAAAAAAGAAAGCTTTGCCACATTCTTCACATTTGTAGGGTTTCTCTCCAGCATCAATTATCTTAGGAGTAGTAGGGATTAAAGACTGGTTAAAAGCTTTGTTAACATTTTTCACATTTGTCGCGCTTCTCTCCAGTATAACTTTTCTTATGTGCAGTAAGTTGGGAGACCTGTTTAAAAGCTTTGCCACATTCCTCACATTTGTAGGGTTTCTTTCCAGTATAAATTATGGTCAGTAATGGATGAGGATTTGTTAAAAGCTTTGCCACATTCTATACACTTGTATGATTTCTCTCCTGTATGAATTATGTTTAGTGATGTATGAGAATCAATAAAAAGCTTTCAGACATGTGTAGGGTTTCCCTCCAGCATTAATTATTTGATGTGTAGTCAGGGTTGAGAAGTGGTTAAAGCTTTATCATATTCTTTACATTTATATGATTTCTCTCTGGTATGAATTCTCTTATGTTTAAGTAAGGGTGGAGGACCAATCAAAGCCTTTGCTGGCCGGGCGCCGTAGCTCATGCCTGTAATCTCAGCACTATGGGAGGCCAAGGCAGGCGGATCACCTGAGGTCAGGAGTTCAAGATTAGCCTGACCAACATGGTGAAACCCCGTTTTTTAATAAAAAAAAAAAAAAGACGTTGCCACATTCTTCACATTTGTAGGGTTTCTCGCCAGCATGAATTACCTTGTATGCACTAGTGGTTGAGTATAGCTTAACAGCTTCGCCATTCTTCACATTTTATGGTTTCTTTCTAGTATGAATTCTTTTATGTATAGTGAAGCGTGAGTACCGGTTAAAAGCCTTGCCACATTCTTCACATTTGTAGGGTTTTTCTCTACCATGAATTCTCTTATGTCTAGTAAGGATTGAATGTACCCTAAAGGCTTTTCCACATTCTTTACACTTGTAGGGTTTCTCTCCAGTATGAATACTCTTATGTATAATAAGGTATGAGTACTGTTTAAAATCTTTGCCACATTCTTCACATTTGTAGGGATTTTCTCCACCATGAATTCTCTTATGTCTAGATAGGTTTGAGAATACACTAAAGGCTTTACCACATTCTTCACATTTGTAGGGTTTCTCTCCGGTATGAATTACCTTATGTACAGTAAGTTTTGGGGAGTGGTTAAATGCTTTGCCACATTCTTCACATTTGAAGGGTTTCTCTCCAGTGTGAAATTTCTTATGTGATGTAAGGTGTGAGAATAGGTAAAAAGCTTTGCCACATTCCTCACATCCGTAGGGTTTCTCGCCAGCATGAAATCTTTTATGTGTAGCAAGGTATGAAGACCGGTTAAAGGCTTTGCCACATTCTTCACATCTGTAAGGTTTCTCTCCAGTATGGATTCTCTTATGTGCAGTAAGGGTTGAAGACTGCTTAAATGATTTGCCACATTCTTCACATTTGTAGGGCTTCTCTCCAGTGTGAATTCTTCTGTGTCTAGGAAGGGTTGAGAACCAGTTAAAGACTTTACCACATTCTTCACATTGGTAAGAATTCTCCCTAATATGAGTTCTTTTATGTTGAGTTAGATGTAAAAGCATGCAAAATGATTTGTCACATTTTTTACATTTCAAAGTTTTCTTTCCAGTATGTCTGATCTTATGTATATTTGAATTTGACAATGTGTAAAAGACGTTCATATATTGATCACATTGAAATATTTCACTCTGGGTAGTTGTCAAACACTGGTTTAGTTCATTATAACCTTCTTTGCACAGATTACACTCATCCACACTTTTACATCCTGTTCTTAACTGTAAATCTTCATGTCCACATTTTCTATATCTTCTCAATATGACTTCTTGGAAAGAATTTTTTATGCCCTGCACTGGCCAAAGGTCTTGGGCAAAATGAGAATATATAACTGAAAGAAATAAACATAACAAATTACTCCATTTACTAGACTCAGATGAATATGCTTTACAAATCTAACCCAGAAAATTATACAAACTACATATACAAGATGGCACAGCAAAATACCACAGGCCCTAATTTTCTGTAGACATGGAAATGTGACAAAAACATAAAACCAAAATACATCTGAGAAAAAATTATAAAAGAGTTAAGTGTGTGAAGTGCCCCAGATGATCACAACACAGAGAGTGACAGAGAAGAAAAAGAAAAGTCTGTTACATTTACCCAGCACAGCTCTTCCCGCTCCCCAATATAACATAGTGCCTTTCGTAGTAAACTGCCAACTTGTGGTTTCTTTTTTAAAAGACAATTAAAATACTGGCACATACATCTTTATTACTTGCTTCTAGGGGCCTTTCTAGACACTGTTTTCTGGCTCCTATGACATATAGTGCTGAAAAAAATGGTGGTATACTTCGGAATGAGACAAAAGCTAAATGTTACAGCAGCAAAGAGACTGCAATACCACACATACAAAAACAGGTATAGCCAGGGATTACTGAGTATTCAGAAGAAACACAAACAGGCCAGATGTGATGGTTGATGCCTGTAATCACAGCACTTTGGGAGGCCAAATCTAGTGGATCACCTGAGGTCACGAGTTTGAGACGAGCCTGGACAACATGGTGAAACCTGATCTCTACTTTAAAAAAAAAACAACAAAAAATAGCCAGGTGTGGTGGTGTGTACCCGTATTCCCAGCTGCTTTGGAGGCTGATGTGGAAGAATTGCTTTAACCCAGGAGGCAGAGGTTGCAGTGAGCCGAGACGGTGCCACTGCACTCCAGTCTGGGAGACAGAGCAAGACTCCATCTCAAAAAAAGTAACAGGCCGGCCGGGCGCGGTGGCTCACGCCTGTAATCCCAGCACTTTGGGAGGCCGAGGCGGGTGGATCACGAGGTCAAGAGATCGAGACCATCCTGGTCAACATGGTGAAACCCCGTCTCTACTAAAAATACAAAAAATCAGCTGGGCATGGTGGTGCGTGCCTGTAATCCCAGCTACTCAGGAGGCTGAGGCAGGAGAATTGCCTGAACCCAGGAGGCGGAGGTTGCGGTGAGCCGAGATCGCGCCATTGCACTCCAGCCTGGGTAACAAGAGGGAAACTCCGTCCCAAAAAAAAAAAAAAAAAAGTAACAAAAGAAACACAAAGTCTTGTAACTAAAAAATAAACACAAAATTACAGAAAAGACACAGTCTAGGAACATTTGAGAGACTCCCAGAATCTCTAACCAAGACAACTGTTCTGACTATGCCAGGATAAAGTTTTTTCTAATGTCCAAATTTCAATAAAAGATTACAAGGTATACAAGATATGGCAATATGGTTTTATCAAAAATATTATAAAAGTTTCAGAAAAAAACCATAAAAAATGTATACATTGCCAGGTGTGGTGGCTTATGCCTGTAATCCCAGTACTTTAGGAGGCAAGGTGGGCAGATCACGAGGTCAAGAGATCCAGACCATCCTGGCCAAGATGCTGAAACCTTGTCTCTACTAAAAATATAAAAATTAGCTGGGTGTAGTGACATATGCCTGTAATCCCAGCTACTTGGGGAGCTGAGGCAGGCAAATCACTTAAACCTAGGAGGCGGAGATTACAGTGAGCCAAGATCACCACTGCACTCCAGCCTGGCAACAGAGGGAGACTGTGAAAAAAAAAAAGTATACATTAATTTTAATAATTGAAAACAAATTGAATAATACTCAGTGAGTAAAATAGAAACATACAGAATTACAGAAAGTCAGAAAAATGAGGATAAGAACAAAAATATTTAAAATATTTTTAAAAATTATGCAGATAAAAAATATCAGGCCGGGCGCGGTGGCTCAAGCCTGTAATCCCAGCACTTTGGGAGGCCGAGGTGGGTGGATCACGAGGTCGAGAGATCGAGACCATCCTGGTCAACATGGTGAAACCCCGTCTCTACTAAAAAATACAAAGAATTAGCTGGGCATGGTGGCATGTGCCTGTAATCCCAGCTACTCAGGAGGCTGAGTCAGGAAAATTGCCTGAACCCAGGAGGCGGAGGTTGCGGTGAGCTGAGATCACGCCATTGCACTCCAGCCTAGGTAACAAGAGTGAAACTCCATCTCAAAAAAAAAAAAAAA